CGTCCGTTCTTTCCACTGAGAGTATTCCGGGAGGTCGTTCGCCAAGTACCCCCGCTGGCCTACCGTCCAAGTTTGTATCCCACTCAATTTCAGTGGCGTTTATTATGTTAAAATATCCAGCTTCAAAATGAATATTCTTTACTCGGACGACCTTGTTGCCTTTGGTGTTGATGACATCTCTCAATTTAAACGTCTGCTCGCTGGGTTAAGTAAAACGTGTGGGTCCCCATTTTAATATATACGTTTGAAAAATCTTGTTAGGCGAGGTTTAATTTATCGAGGGCGTTTTCCCAGTGCTTATCCGAAACTTGAAATAGATCTTTCACTTGAGATTCGGTTTCCCCGGTTGTCTCTTGATAACACACCGCGATTAAAGCCTTCAACGGTTTACCTCTAGAGATCTTACCGTTTAAAACTTGGTTTAACTTATATTCTATTTCACCCGCTTCGCCGTTTTTAAAACAAATGTTGTACTTCTGCAACGTTCTTCTCGATTTTGGTGGCGGCGGTTTCCTCCAAACGTGATGCTTGTAGTATCGATCTCCCATGTCGGCGGGGTGTATGAATTTAACGAATCAAACCCAAAAGTTAGACCGCGGTGTTTACAAGCGTATCTTTCGTCTATTTCGAGTATTTGGTGGTTACAAGCGGGTATCGGTTTACTTTGAGATCCCGGTATGTGTCCTTCCTTTAGATTCAGCAAGTGACAAAGCTCCGCATCAGTCATCTTTTATATATATAGATCATTTATTTAAGGTAAAAAATTAACCTGGGATTTCTACTTTAATTAAATGTTCGACGTCAGCGTCGTATTCAATAATTAATCCAATTTTGTATAAATCCGCGTCGAGTTTAGTCGATGAATCGGGCAGTGGTCGTTCTCTCGCGCGAGCCTCAGCTTTTTATGCTTGCCGTCTACGAGCACCACGCGATCCATTCCTTCCAACTCGACACAATTTACGCAGCAGGTGCAGTACGTACAACCAAAACACTCGATACAATTGGCACACTCGTTACAGTCTTCGCAACTGTCCAAGGCATTTGAATTTCTCCAGTCGTACGAATTAAAACAAGCCACGCAATTTATACATCTACCGCAATCGTCGCTGGTGGAGCAGTCCTTACATGTGACGCAGTCTTGGCATTCATGACAATTGTGGCATTCTTTACAATCGATGCATTTGCGTAAACTTTTGGAATTTAAACAACGAAAGCAATTGTACGAATCTATCAAGTTGATCGAATTTCTCGTGTCTTTGCAATAATAATTTACGTTTGTAGTTTTATCTACCATTTATTTTTATGTATTTTTTATTATTGTTTGTTTATTTTTTATCATTTTTTATGACGGGCAAGTCTCGACTTGTAGCAAGAGGAAGTCCCTTTTTTTGAGTGATTGCTGGTGCAGGCCGGTGCTAGTCACGAGTTGTTTACACAAAAAGTTCACCGGGGTCAAAAGTTCAAGGTTAATGAAGTGGGAATCCCCGGCGCTAGTCACGAGTTGTTTACAGGAAAAGTTCGCCGGGGTCAAAAGGTGAGTGGGAATCCCCGGTGAGTGTGATGGGTGAAAGGGGGCGAAAAGGGCGTGTGCTTCAGAACTCTCAGTTTCCTACTACTACTACCACGACCTACACGTGGAAACCGACGTGTTATTGCTAGCGGCTGTTTTTGAGAACTTCCGAGAACTTTTGAGAACTTAGTCTGTAAACAGAACTATGGCCTGGACCCAGCTAAATATTACACGTCACCTGGCTTATCTTGGGACGCTCTTTGGAAGCACACGGGTTTTAAACTGGAACTACTGACAGACATAGACAAGCACTTGAAAGGGCAAAAAGAGGTGGTATCTCTAGTGTGGGTGCAAAGCGATATGCAAAGGCAAATAACCCGGACCTACCTGACTACGGCCCAAATCAACCAGAGTCTCATGTCATGTACCTAGACGCCAACAATTTGTACGACTGGGCCATGAGTCAGTATCTGCCCATGGGTAAGTTTCAGTGGCTAAAAAGCTTAGAAAAATTTACTCCCGAGTTTATTTCCAAGTTAAGAGCCGAAGAAACACGCGGTTACATGTTTGAAGTGACTGGTTGAGAGTGTTCATTTTGCTGGTAATGATGTGACTCTAATGCATGCATTTCAGTGTCCTTCAGTTCCAATTTTGAAAGATATGCTGCCGGACTTCTCTTTCGAAATATTTTGCCAAACAATGTTCATACCTTTACTTAGTGCCAACATGTATATGGGATATGCATACATGTACATACCTTTTAATGTATATATTAAAAGTACACATTTATATACATTATATACATGTAAAGTATGTATAGATATGTATGCACATGTAGGCTGTACTACCAAAAAATGTGAAATTGTTTGGGGCTGAAGACAACTTGAAATTTGGAGAAAATAAAAGCTAGATATGAACATTTATGTGGAAAATGCTTTGTCCATGGTTAATTGCCCACAGTGTGAGTTTGCAAGCACAAAGTTTAAGAAAATGTCCACTGTTTTCCACTGCGACTCTTTTCACAGGCCTATATACCAAACGTAAGGTTCATGTGTGGTACATTTTCAGTTGCAGACAAACCTTTGCCCAAATAACAGGAATAGAGTATCACAAGCCCCTAAACCCTTGGGCTGAAGAGGGGTCTGTAATTCTTATTTATTTTGAGATATTGGCCTCCAAACCCCTTGCAAATTAATTTTTGTGCTTTGCGAGTGTAAAACGTGGGTGATGGGGGGGGGTTATCTGAGGAACCCTTGGGATTTGAAGCCTTAAATTTTGCATGTGTTCATTTTTCATGAAGATTTTCAATTTCTTTTCAAAAGGCGCCTAATCTGAAATGTTGACATTGGAAGATTGCTAGATTCTGGTTGAGTTCATATAGAATGACCCCTACAAATAATCTTTTGATGCCCATTGATGATGCTTATACAAACAATAATGGTGAGAAAAAGTAGCAACTATATTGAGCAAAAAAGAGCTTTATTACCTCTTACAATACTTTTCCACATATTCGTACAATATCAAATATGTGCAAAAACGTGACCACTTATTGAGGACACAACACAACCTATATTTGAAGTCATTGCAACGCAATTGAAATATACTTCTTCAGAACGTCTTCTGATTTCAATAACCAATATGTTCAAAACCCGTTCGAGACACAATTACATTCTTCCAAACCCTTGTGTCTCCTGAACTGCATAGACAAGCATGGATTCCAACTCATTAGGGTTTTCAATGCCTCTAAGCAGGCTTAGAAGCAAGCCACATGTGCTGCTTGACGGCAGCCGCTTGCATCCTGCTCCAGTTGAATAGAAGCTGATCTGAAGTGTGTCATCGAAACCTGCTGGTGGCGGATGCTCTGCACCTGTCCAGAACTCAAGGAGCTGCGGCAATGTCAGAACTCACTTCTTACCTTTGGTGAAAGAAATGTCACACCATTTAATCATTTAGTTCCCAGCTGTTCTTTTGATCTGGAAAAGGTGATTTCTCTTTCACCACACTCCTTCTGTTTGCAACACAAGTTAAGCTTCCTTGTCACAGGACATGTTTTGAGTTGCTCAATTCTAGCGTCCATTTACAGAATATCTTGTTCAAACCAAAAGGCTAAAAATGTTGGAAGTTTAAATTGGGGGTATGGTGCATGCGAAGCTGGTTGTGGGATGGTTTGGAATAACATGGAGTGGGATGCATGAAGCATGCTAGATGACTCTGAGTGGAGGTTAAGGCGTAATGAATTGGAATGCATTGAGGTGTTGCGTTGGGCTTGGATGGGTTGATTTGGCCTTGCTGGGTGTAGAAGTGTGACTCTCAAAATACATGGGACAGAGACTGTCAGTTTTATACTCCACTCTCTCTTAAATTAATTTATTCCTTAATTATTTACACGGGCATAAAAAACAAACAATTTGTCAAATTATTGCTTGCGTAATTAATTCTCAACTCCTTTTACTTGATGTACCATGTTGTTGCTCCAAAGGAACAAAAAACAAAACCAAAGGAAAGAAATCAGTTACTATCCTCACTTGGATGTATAATTACTCACTTCAAAATTTATAAAGAACCAATTAGGCTTCACAAATGAAAATAATCTTCAGACTTCTTTAAAAAGACTGGTAAATCACAAATTTAAAAAGTCTTAAAATGTTTCCACTACATCATGGATACATTCCTTCAACGAATCAACGATGTAAATCCGGCTTCAAAATACTCTGACTGCAGCCACAACCTCGGATTTCCCAGTTCTGTATTCAGGAATCAGCGGGGTTTCCGTCATCTGGAATCGTGACTTTTAAGCAGGGGTAGCACGGGTAGCAAGGGTAGTACGAGGGAATCAATCCCTGACCAATGACCATCTCAATTTAAAGAAATAACCCAAACATACAAGTATTCCATCCTCATTTTAAAAGAGGACAAATTGCTAACTGCAATTTTAACTTTGGCTACATCACACTGGTGAATTCTTTAACTTCATTAAGAATATCTTTACATGTCACATTACTCAGAGGTTATTATAACACTAAAAGAGAAGTATAACTGCATCTTAATCAAATCAACAAATGAATCATACAACATTGTCTTCTATATTAAATAAGAAATCAACACTTACGAGTTTCTTCACTCTCAGTTGAGTTCTGCTCCTTTGCTTGCCCTGACAACAACCCTCAACAGACAAGGTATCCTCAGTCAAGTTTTGACCAAGGCTGAATTGCTGAACAGACACCTGATGTTGTGTCTGATAGGCAAAAGCTGCCTCAAGATTTTGCCTTATGGCCAACAAAAACAACTTCTAGGAGCAACGAAATCTTGTGCTATCACAGCGGAATCATTTGGCAATCTGATTCACACACTGACTCTTACTTTCCACCTCACTTTTACTACATACTTCATTCTAGCATTCTCAGACTAACTTTGAATAATAAGGGTACGGCTTTCTACCAGAGCTACATCAACTCATCTAACTAAAAGAAACAGACCAAGAAACAGGTTATCTTCCATTCTGGTTTATTGTTCACAGTCCTAGAAAACACAATTAGTTAGTAACGAGGGGTGAGAAAAGCTCTCTCCCCCAGAGTCTACTACCGACTATACACAATACCTGCCTAATTATGAAATTATGATAACTACACAAAAGAGTCTACACGATGGGACTCCAACTGGAGGGATGAATTCAGTGGGGAAAGTTAAAGAAGAAAACTCATGGCCTAGTCAACGTAACTTGGGGGGGAGGAATAGTAAAGACAGGCTATTTGTCTACAAGGGGGATGTAAAAAGACTTAAAAAATATAATAAAACACAAATCATCTGACACTGGGTCAAGTTGGATATGATAGAGCTCGTATAGTGACTGCACTCGCTGTGCTTAGTCAGCACCGACAGTTGTGCTACAACAGCAGCACTCCGAAAAAGCTACAGACAGTGCACCTCAGGTGTTATGTTTTAGAACACCTGCTACATTAATTATGCACTTCAGGTGTTGGGGCAGTTTCCAACAACTCCTGCACCTAAGGTGTCATTTTTAAACTTTCAGGAGCACTTGCTAGAAGCTAAATAATGCACTCTTTATGTTCGGTGTAATGTCCTATATTTCTGCACTCCTTGTGTCAATTTGTACTGAAGAGTACCAAAAGAGTAAACAAAGGCTCGAATGAAGAAAAACAAACGATCTTTGAGCATCTTCATATCCATCATAATTCATAACTTTCCGAGCAGAAAACAATGTCTTCATTTTTAAAAAGATGATTAAAAATTCCAAAGATATATTTTAAAGTGACTCAGCCTCTTTTGAATCAATCAAATGAGAATCATTTTTAAGAAAACAATCTTATAATTATTACAACAATAATAATTTATAAAATTGAACTGAGTATAAACATGAAAATAGAATAGTTCACTGAACACAATCTATAAAATAAATCTGCCAAGTCTCTGCAAGGAATCGGCACTCACTCTGCTGTGGATTATAATCATTTGTAAACTTGGATCAACCAATGGAAAATGAAAATAAAGTTTTTCACAGAACACAATCTATAAAATGAACCTGCTAAGTCTCTGCAAGGAAGTTGCACTCACTCTGCCGTGCATTATAATCGTTTGTAAACTTGGATCAAGCACCGGAATATGTAACTAAACTTGTTCACCGAAAAAAATCTATGTCAAGTCTCTGAAGAAAATTTCCACTCACGTTGATGTGCATAATCATCATTAATGAAAATGGAGTCAGTGCAAAATGTAAAAATACACATGTTTATTGAAAAAAGTCTTTAGTGAATCTGTCATGTCTTTAAAAAAGTTTGCACCTATTCTGCTATGGATTTTAAGAAAAAGAAACTTCATTTGTTTTTATATAGTTACTTTCATTTTATAAAAATGGATTAAGCACTGAACCGTTAAAGTAAAGCTGCTGATTGAAAAAAGCTGCCTTAAATAAACTGTGATGATTTTGCACTTTTTCTGCAATGCATTTTTAATAAGTAAAATAATAACTTGGTCTTATTACTCAATTGTGAGAAGAAATGATTTTACATGTGTGGTTCATTTAACAGATTTCTTTAAAAGCATTCTTTAATTCTCTGCTAGTGTCTCCCAAAACATGTCAAACATATACTTGGCCTTTTTATTTTTTGCTTATTTTGAAACCTGTTCTTACATGTAGTTGATAACGTATTAATGCCATTGGTTGATTTAATACCCATCAGTCAAAGTACCTGTTTTGTAAAAAGACTTGTTATTAATTTGTGGGTCATGTATACGTTAATTAGGCACTATCAGTCTATCTCTGTGTAATCTGCATGTGTCATTGGTTGCACTCATTATGTTGCTACATTCACCATAGCTTTGCATGCACTCAGTATCTAGTACAGTAGCTTGGTTACCAGACCTTATACATTTGTGACCTTCAACCCCACAACAAGCAACGAACGCCAGCTCAGAAATTCTCCGACAAATCGCCAAATTTCGCGGTGAGAAGAGGCAGCATAACGTTTCACCTAGTACCGAATGCTTTTCTCAGTGTTAAGAAGGTGTTGAATGGTTTGTTCATATTGGAAAAATTTCAGATTTATTTATTACTGGTGATATTAGTTGACGGTAGCAAGAAGCCATAGTCCTCAATTTTTAGCAGGACCTGCTGGATGTTCAGTTTCTGCCCAAATGCAATCAGGCTTGGCTGCTTAGTCTCATTGTCTTTTTAAAATATGCCTTTTCAAATAGAATCTTCTTAGTCTTTGAATGAGAAATGGTAAATTTATAGGGCCTACATGTATGTGGGAGCGTGCTGGAGAGTCTAATTTTCAGTTCCAGAAGTTGAATAGTACAAGCCGCCTTGGACCACAGGATTAATGAACCTAGGACACTATAAGTATATGTAGCTTTTAAAACCTTGTGATTAAGTAGTTTGAAGTGGGAAAATGGTATTATTTGGCAATTTCATGTAAATGTAGATCAACTTTACACTTAGAATGTATATCCTAATTTGCCTTCAATGCCAACGTAATTTCCACTACCGGTGGTGGTATGTTGCTGTCATAGTTCAGGTCATAAATCTGGGTCTGCAAATAGGCGTAGAAGTTCCTGAGCTGAGGTGGGTACTCTAAGTTAAAAAGCCAATGGCTTTTGAAAAGGATATCCACTGCACAGGTGATATTAGTTGACCGTAGCAAGAAGCCATAGTCCTCAATTTTTAGCAGGACCTGCTGGATGTTCAATTTCTGCCCAAATGCAATCAGGCTTGGCTGTTTCGTCTCACTGTCCTTCAAGACATCCTCCACTGGTTCTGTCACTTGAAAAGAAATCATTCCATTCATTACCTCAATGGACTTTTTGCTTTAAAATTTAAAATAAATGGGCACGGACGCACACAAGTATGTTTCATCTTAAAGTTTAATGGTTTACTTTCAAGAGTGACCATGAAAGTTTGACACTCTAACCTCACTGTTTGAACCAGACCGTGGTCATCGTCACATATCTGTGGGTACATGACGTGCATAATAATGCCTAAGTGCTTTGCTCATAGAATTTTTTGCATCTGCATAAATAAATAAAGTTTTTGATTAATCACATCAAGGAGAACTTTGCAAGAGCTGAAAAGGGGCATCACTTTAATGTTATAATGTTGTGAACTTTGTCATGTTTGTAAGAACAATTGCATTACAGAGGTCTTTCAGCATTTTGGAGTTTCCTGATAAATTATAAGAACCACAATGAAGAGTATACCTCATAGCATTTGACCAAAAATTTCTCAGCATCTTCTCGTGACACACGACCCTTTGCCTTTGTGTTGTACGATGGTAGTAAGCGGACGAGCGTAACAAAACCTTGCTTTCAGATCTACTAAACAAGCCAGAGACAGAACAAAAATACTGGTCATTTTAATTTTGGAATTTAGTCCTTAACATCAATTGACTCATAATAAGTGGCATTGTTTAAGTCAATGTCACTGTCAATGTTTTGTCAATGTCAAATAAAGGTATTCCAACAAACTGGGTATGTTCTTTCCTTTCCATGCACAGTTAACAACATCACAAAACCTGATCCTGATAAGGGTTTATAGTTTTGTTTACGGTGCATTGGAAGGAAAAAATTGTTTTATGTATAGGTTGGTAAAAGAGGGCATGCCTTTGCCTTTAATCCCTCTTATCTTCATAGCTTTTTGGTAAATGTTTATCTCCAAAGTTTAATTATTTATGCATGTAGCTGTTAAATCTCGGTTATCTTGACCTGAGCTTTTGTCCTGGTCTGCTGATCCTTTGTATTCCTTGAGTACTCTGTCCACTATCCCTTTGTGGCAAGAAGCAGCATATGTCAGCAGATCCTGCGAGTGGCTCTCCCACTTTTTCAGTAAGCAGTCTGTAGACTCGTCATACATGGCTTTGAAATCCTGATCAATCTTTTGCATGGAGAGAAAAAGAAAATAGTGGTTGAACCATAGAGTTGGATATAATAATGAACTAGAGGGCGTACTCGCCTAATCGCTGTGCCGAAAAGAAGATCGTGCCGCCATTTTCAAACCGGGCAAAACCGTGATATTTTGTCACTAGCGACTCGAGTCGTATACGTGATAAGCGCGCACCTCTTTTCGTAAACCGGTCTCCAAACTATCCTAATTTTACCCGAGTAGCAAGAAGAAACATGCCTGAAAGCTGTGCAGCGTTTGGCTGCACCAATCGGCGCAAGAAGGGAGAAGGTGTTTCATTTCATAAGTAAGTATTTTCATGCATAATTTAATGTGCATATTAACCAGGATAGTACTACAGGACGTGCCTATGCATGGCCGGGAATTGTGTAGTTGGGGACACCTCCACTACTTGTTATTTGGTTTTGACGTGGGGAATTTAAATTGGTTTTGGACAGGGTAATTATGGTGATGAAAGGTGAATTTGTTATGCAGGTTTGAAACTAGTGTTGGTGGTGGTAAGAACCATATTAACATCAACTTCCATCAGCCTAAACTTGCATGACTCAAACAGCAACTGAGCGTGCATTTTTGGCAATATTTTTGAATTCAAATAGTCTGCTGTACATTTGATTTGGTATCTCCTTTTTGTGATATATATACATGTACTTTCATGTACACTTTAATGTCCAAAAACACTCACTTGTCAGGCATGTCAGGGGCTCACTTAATAGCATTAAGGTTCTAAAACCTCAAAGTTGAAAACAAAAGGTGTAAACATGGTCAATACATGATGTAGTTGGACTAGAAATTCAGGATTTTACAGGGTATAAATACAGTGTGTTTGGATTAATGTACAAACTGACAGAGACGTCTCTTCATTAATTAGGTTATAATGGACCTAGCTACCCAGCCAACTTGACACAACTTCTGTAATAATCCAAAAAGTGACAGGCTACATAGTTTTTTTATTATTAAAAGGATGGCTTGCATATTATTACCTGGGGTTATCTTTTCAATTTAGATTTCCTCTTGCAAAACCAGCTCTTTTGAGCAAGTGGTGGCTGCAGTCAGCAGAGCTGATTTTGTACCATCAAAGCATCATGTGGTGTGCAGCGAGCACTTTGAAAATTACATCAGAGGTATGTGTTTTTATTGACATTGTAGTTGCATTCAATCTCAGGACAGTTTACAGTCACTTCGCCCATTTTCCATTTTGCCCACTAGTTCACCCACAACCACTTCCCCATTTACCACTTCGCCCACTTGCCCATTTGCTACTTCCAGTGATTTCGCCCACGTGATGTCCAAAATTTGGCAATGTCTGCAGTGGTGGTATATGGTAAGGAATGGCATGTGTTTTGGATTTAAGGGTGAAAATAAAATTTTTGGTTGAATCTTGAAAGAACCATGGAGGAAGCAAAAAAAGACTTCTTGCTTTACAGACCTCATTGCTGACATTGCTGAACTCATTGGGCATCTTGTAAGTGAAGTGGCACATGGGCGAAGTGGTTGGGGGGACTGGTTGTGGACGTACTGGAAAATGGGCAAAATGACCGACACCTCTCAGAACCTGAATACTGAACTGTTTCTGCTGAACTGCTCATGTGTTGATACTCTTGTGATTTTAAATTATCATATTGCAAATTAATAAAGTTGTACTTTTGCAGGTATACATCCCAGAGATGACCCTGACGTCGTTCAACATGAACTCCTGGAGCAAGCTGTACCCTCCATCTTTCCCCAGTTTCCGCCTCACAAACAAAAGAAGCAAGCAAGCAAGCAAGAGGCCTCCACCTAAAAGAAGAATGCCTGCAGTTGATCCAAGCCCACAGCCTCAAAAAAAGCTGTCACAGACCACATGTATGCCACATCATTAAGTTCGGTTCATGGAAAACTGAAGGAAACCACAGAAAAACTTCAAGAGGCCCGTAAGGAACTTAAAGTAGCTAAACAAAAAGTAAAGCGTCAAAGTAAAAGAATCAAGTCTCCTGGAAGAAGTGAAGAAAAAGCACATGATAAACCAGGGACAGTTGGAGTTGCTGAAGCTCAACTTTGGTGAAAACACATTAACGCTGATTGACAATGAGCTGAAATCTTTGGAAAAAGACAAACATGGGCACAGGTTCTCAGAGCAACTCAAGCAATTTGCAGTCACACTTCATTTCTATAGTGCTCAGGCCTATGAATTTGTCAGGCAGTATTTGCATCTGCCACATCCCAGCACAATTCGCAAATGGAGTGCGAGCCTGAATTGCCAGCCAGGATTTCTGACTGAGGTCATCGACCATATCAAGGAAATGGCAGCTGAGGATTCTTTGAAGAAGCACTGCATGCTTATGCTTAATGTCATGTCACTGAAAAAAGAAGTTGTGTATGAACCCAAGACTAACAAGTATGCTGGTTTCATTGACTGTGGCAATTTCCTAGCTTCCTCTGAAGATAGTCTTGCAACGGAAGCCCTTGTTTTCATGGCTGTAGGATTGACCGGCAGTTGGAAGTATCCAGTTGCATACTACCTAGTAGATCACTTGTCTGCTGCAGTGCAAGCGGAGATCATCAAGCAAATTATTTGTGTGCTTGCAGAATCTGGAATGGTTGTACATGGTGTTGTGTGTGATGGCACATATGCAAACCAAACAATAGCATCACTGTTGGGTTGTTCAATCACTGCCACTGCCATGCGATCATACTTTCCTCACCCAGCCGATCCATCTCAGATTGTCTGCTTCGTGTTTGATGCATGCCACTTGATTAAGCTGGTTAGAAACTGTTTAGCGACAATGGAGACAATTTACCACAATGGAGATGAGATATCTTGGAGGTACAGATTATATGAGGTTCAACAGAAGGATAATTTGCACTTTGCAAATAAGTTAAAATCCAAGCACATTTTGTGGCAGCAGCACAAGATGAATGTGAAAGTTGCTGTACAGGCACTAAGCTCGTCTGTAGCAGATGCAATTGATTTTTTGAGAGCGGACCTCTGTCTTGCGGAATTCGAAGGAAGCAAGAAAACTACACAGTTCATCCGTATTGTTGACAAACTGTTTGATTTTATGAATTCAAAGCACCCTAAAGGAAAGGGATTCAAGAGTCCAATGAATACTACCAACCTTGCAAAAAGACAAAAATGGCTCCTGGACACAAAGAAATACATGGAGGCTCTTACAGATGCAGATGGACAACAACTATGCAGGGGCAGAAGGAAGACAGCATGGGTAGGGTTCATGGCAACTATCGACTCAGTAATTGGTATTTGTCATGACCTTCTGACAGCTCCACAGCCTTTCCATTATGTGTGCACATACAAGATGTCCCAAGATCACTTAGAAATGTTTTTCAGCCGAGTTCGCAGAAGAGGTGGCTGGAATAATAATCCCAACTGCTTGCAGTTCAAGTGGGCACTACGTGCCATCCTCTTGAAGAACCTCATCATGCCATCAAAAAATGCCAATGTTACCATTGATGAACCCTTAAATGTGCTGTTTAAGTCCAAGCCAACTGCTGCTGTCCATCACACCAATACTAACATGCAAAGATTTGCCGAGCTTTTGAGAGAGCCCTCAGAATTTCACGACCACATTCTGCATTACATGGCTGGATACATAAGTCGGCACGTGATTGCAGACTGTAAATGCACACAGTGTTGTGTTGCCCTGCACAGGAACACATCTGACTCTGCCGTCTCATCAGAAAGCATGTTAACCACCAGGAAAGACCGTGGGGGTCTTATTCAACCAAGAGACGATGTTTTTCGAATTGTGAAGACAACCGACAGACTTTTGAGGCATGATACTGCTTGATCTATGGTTCTTTAATTTTACACCTGTTAATGTTGAATTTATTAAGTGTTCAGTGATTTTTATTTCACATTTTGGAATTCTTGGTTTTTTTTTCTTGAATTGGTTTCTTGATTGTACTAATCAATTTGTGTTTCATTTTGAATTGTTTGTAATGCAACTTACTAAAGTTGATATTTGTTACATGCTAACTATTTGATCATTTTTATTTTTACACATACACGTAACTTGTTTGTGTACTAAGTGCAAGAAAACTAGCACCTTGTTCACACAGTTCGTCAGTTTTAAAACTTAACTCTAAAAAGAATTCCTTTCTTTAAGATGTTTTGTTAAAGTGAACAAAGTGNAAGATTTTGAGTTAACGAGGATACATGATGATGTACGTATATATACAATATACTGTTTTTCAAGGGCTACGCTTGTAACTGAATAAAGTTTACAATGTTGTGTTCTTAAGTGAAACATGAAATGTTTAACCCCCAAAATGTTCATTTGGTTGACATGGCATACAATTGGTTCATTTCAAGAATTCACCCATGTTGTAGTTTTTACCATTTCCCAGCATATTCAATAGTACATGTCATGCACAACAAATGTGATACATACTGTACATGTAGTTCAGTCTGTGCATGCATTTTGTTTCACAAAGTCAACTAAAAATGTTTAGGTGTAGAATAATAAATGGAACAGGATGTATTTGGGTGAAGAGTAGATTTTAGTGTCCTTCGGACCTGGAAGTTGACAAACTTGCTCTCCCAGGTTGCCACAGGAGAGAAGTCAGTCAATCCCAATACGCTGAAGTTAAATTTAACTATGCAACCTCAAACTATGCTCTATTTGTATGACATGGTTCCGAGCCTTGTTTCAATATGTGTGGGGAGAGTAGGACCTGGCAATTTGCAACCCTCAAAATCTAAACGTTTTCCTACATGTTCTTGATTTTGTACATGTATTGATAAGTTCCTTTGTTTATGGATTTTCCAGTTTGATTGCTTTTGACTAGCAAGAGTTTATTTGTTCATTTAAAATAATAAAACACGCTACTATATTCATCATTGGCTTCCATACTGAAATGATGTAATGCATTTAAAGTTGTGCTAGAGCAGTTGCATATTTGGGTTTGGGGAAGAAGACAAGGCATAATCAGTAAAAAAAAAAGTTGTCCACTTTTTCATCTGTAAATATTTCCCACCCTTTCCCTTAATATTGTTTGGAAGTGTCAGTACATGTTCCTAAAAAAAATCAGAAACGAAAAATTGATCAACAAAATACTTTGTGGGGTAGGGTTAGATGGTCCTGTTACGCCCCAAATAAGCCACTAAGCTAGAACTTGTTTGTTTTACAAACCGTCAAAGGATGCCTGAAAGTTAATTTTTCAAAATTTTGGGGGAATGTCTTGAAGAATTTTTAGGCTCTCAGATGTCTGCAGCACGGCTTGTCACAACACTTGGATTTGCACATTCTGCTTGGCCCAAATGGGAAACAAACCCTTACATTACATGTAGACGGCATTTCACTTTCCAGTCTCACTTTCAGAAATTCTGATTCCCTCCCAAATTTCTTGTGAAACTGCAGGCATCCCTTTTTGCACAGCAAGGAGTTCGTTCTTGTCCACTGTTTTTGGAATCAGATTTTGTAATGGAAACTGCAGTTGCTTGAATCAACAAATAAAATTGACAAAACCCTCAGCAGCCGGCCCCGGCCCCCCAAGCTCCATGTGGGGTCTGACCATGGAGTTTTCATGGAACTTGAACGAGAAAGAGACCGAGTTGAAAAAATGGGAAAACACTTTTTTTGCTTGTGTTTTGTGTTACAGGAGAGCATTGACTAAAAACCTGAAAGGAAGACCCAACCCCCTAGGAACTTCCCCAGCTCTCATAAAATCCATCCAGCAAGATTTATTGCTTGCAATTCGGTCCTCAGTTTTTGGCGATCCGTCTGAGCATTTCTTTGAGCAAGACCTCACCGTAGAAGACGATCATGGCACTCAACTTGTGAGGACAATCAGCGGATTGTTCATCAAGACTGTCCTGTTTCACCATGGAAGGCTGTACACCGAGCGATATGTCAACAAAAACTTGCCATCAAAAAGACACCAACTCACCAAGACCATCCTGTTTCTAGGTCAATAGGGCCTAGGAATAAGTAAGGTAAGATTTTTCATTGTTAAGTATCTCCAGAATGCGTCACAAAAAAAAGTAATTTTACCGCGAACTTTCATCCATTTTTCATGTCGTGCATAGCGTGTTGTATTACATCCAGGTACTTCGCGTGTTGTTTTGCCCGGTTTGGCCATGGTCGCCTGCTTTTCATGCGCGCACAGTGGTAAAGCGTTGCTGGCAATTAGGAGTACGCCCTTTAGTTCATTATTATATCCAACTCTATGGGTTGAACTGACTGATTACAAACTGACAAAATATTCATTTTTAACCAAGCTTCACCATCCCCACCACACTCCTATCAACAGTGGATGGCTCTGGCAAAATGCAAACTGCTTGAATATAGAGGACTGAGCCCTTGATATTTGCTCTTCTTGATTTTTATTACATTTATAACACTTACTAGATAGTGGATATTAGTGTTTGTGTATACCCAAGAGTTTGTGAAAAATACATAATTGGGTCAAATCTACGACCTCCAGCAACATCTTAGAAACAGTTATTTGCAATACCAGCTTGTACACCTACTCCTACCGTATAGTCAGTCCCTGCAAGCTTGGTGGTCGAGTGGTAAAGAGATCTACTCTAGAAAGCAGGAAGCTTTGGTTCAAGTCCAACTTTCAGGTATACACTGAGTATTGTGTCATAATACACATTTGGAAGGGCCGATATCCAAAATAAATCAACTTCTTCATAATGCAAAATATCTTAACACTAGAGCCCATTGTAACTGTCACACATGGTTGTGTTGTTTGCCTCAGCCCCTTCTGCAACTGTTAAGATTCTGTGCTACTTGAGCACAGAATGGTCATCGACATGTAACTGGTGAATTTCCTTGCTACATGTAATTTACATGTACATGTGTGTTATTTGTAACTTACCAGCTCTGGCATGTCCATGAATCGTGTTATTTTTGTAGAACCTCTGAAATGTACGGCTTTGCTGTGTCGATCCACGCACGTCTATTTGGGAAGCACTTCGCCATCGCTTGGGCCACTGCAGGCTTATTTCTGTCCCTCATTGCATTTCGGCAGAATGATGCCAGTTCCTCTGCCTCTGACTCAACAAGCAGTGAGGGGGATGAGACTTCTTTCGGACCTGGTCACGTGCGTGTCGTGGCACTAGTCCTCTGCTTTGCCGATGGAGGCAACCCTCGCCTGATGTTTTTGGAGTTTATCCTGTAGGTACCCACTTTGACCCCTGTTGAACTGAAGAAGTGTTCCTTTTGAGAGAAAAGAGTTATTTTTGTTGCCAAAGTTGCAAAAAGTAAATTGTGGAGGTTTTGGGTTTCAGTTTTAAGTTTCCCTTGAAAAGTTATTCCCATTCAGCCTTTGCATAAGGGAAAGTATGTGACTAACTTGGGGGGCATTTTGGCTGGTTTAATCTCTCTATGTAAAAAAAGTTTAGTAGACAATACTTTTTCATGAAGCCTTTGGTTTAGACTATAAGATTTCTATATTAAATTCACCCCTGGTTACTTGTAGCTGCTTCTTTCAGTTACTTGCAGTTACCTGTGTTTGACATATGAATTTAGAGGAAGCACTGCATGAGGTCCCAGCCATTAGTAAAATTTCATGTAATGGATACGTACTCATCAGGATTTATTTTGATTCCTTTGCAGTGAACTATGGAAGCAGTTTGGCCTAATTAAAGCTATTTAAGCCCATACTTACATATCCTGTAACGCTGCTGGTATCTCTCAGGTTTGGAAAAAGCCTTATTATTGCCCGTCCCGTTTCATGTTTTTCCTCAATGGTAGGGTAGCTGCAATTAAACAGAGCAGACACAATTTGAAAATCACTTTTTCATTCTTATTTAATTATGCCTTTCTGACAGTCAGTGTTAGAGTCCTTTCATAACAAGTATCTTTAAGATGCTGGTAGCAGCAGACACAACAGTCCTTTCTAACAATCTTTGCTCATACGCACAGCTACGCACGCATGTTCAGGATTTTTGTGCATGCTCGAAACTGCCCCCAAAACCCCAGTGTGTTTGGTCTCAAAGTTGCTCAACAAATCCCCACTCCCTTGCCTCACATTTGTACAACAATTTAGTTCAAGTGCTGACAAGAAACCTTCCCATGTAGACTTGTTGATTGTGATGCTTTGTAGCTACTTTGAAATTAAAAGTTGGTTTGGCTTATACATGCACATGTAATTGATCCACTGAAAACAGGGAGGAAATTTCTTACAAGTTTATTCCACTTACCTTCCACATTTTGTTATGAGATGTGCAGCCAGAATGGACACAAGAGTCATCCGAGTTCGTGGGGAAATGTATTTTCTCTGGTTGTATTCCTCAAGTATGGAGGGTCCTTTAGGGTGCTCCCGAAGTATATTGCCAGCATCAAAAGGCATCTGTTATGGAGTATGTGCACAATAAACAAAAAAAAATCTACAAAGATAAGACATTTATAGCACATTTTCCTCTACGATGGGCAATACAATTTTGAGGAAGGGTTTCATACACCCTCATAGATACCGTATAAAAACTGCGAAGAGAGTACCATCTTTGCAAATAATATCGCTACCTAGCAAGATTCAATTTTGTTTGCTCTCTGTTACTGTATGATATTAAACTGATATAGGAGGTTCCAAAAGAAAATCACTAAGATTAGTGTGATTGTCTATTTTGAAAGGGCAGTTTATAATCTACATGGAGTTTGGGGGTCTTGGAATTACCAGTGGAGGCTTCTGTATGGAAATGTACAGGTGTTTACAGACATTTAATTTTTAAAGGTCTTCTCACATTACTTTTTTTGGAGGTACACAAGCTATTGGCCTGCCGCAACAGTGATCTAGGAGTTCCGGTATTTGTCATGTCAGTGGATTATTCTTGCAATTTTCTTGATGATGGCATCTCCTGCTCATCATCATACCGTGAATCCGAAGTGTCCTGTGTGAGATGAATGACAAATTTACTTCCACTTTACAAAAAGAATTATTACAGAACTCATTTTCTTTTTCCTTGCAGGTCGTCAAACGAGCTGGCATGCTTCGTGTGATTTTATGTAACCCAAAATAATTGACGGATGTACTGTATTTTGTCCTTACATAAGACTTGGGTGCTGCAGCTGTCAATGTGCGCGGTTCAGCTTTCAGTTTCAGTAGGTGTTGACATTCGACAGTTTCCTTTGGGTTAATACATACTGTCCTGACTGTACCTGCATCTGATATATGTGTCTTTGCAGCAGGTTGTGCGACCTTCTTTTTGTGCTTGTGCCACATGTTTCAATCAAAGAATTTTTTAATAAATAAAATTAACTTACGTCAGTGGAGGATGATGTAGAGGCACTGCATGATAATGATGGGGACAGCGAACTCAAAGGTTGTGAGGGATTTGGTTTGTAAAATTTAACCTCAATGACATCTTCTATGATGTCGTCATCTGTGCAGTCAAAATCTGAGACCATTTACAACAGTGACTTATCTGATGTCTTGAAGCTGCAGTTGAGCAGATGTCTTTGAAACAGTTCACGATACTTGCCAATCGCTTCGTTAAATTATGCTTTGCCTCAAATCGCATACACCACATATGAATCAGTGGTCCAATTTCTTTCATTGCCATTGGATAGTGCACAAGGAAATGGTGTTTGGGAAGAAGTCTTACTGTAGGAAACAGCTCTTTGAATAACAAATGATGATCATTGATAAGGTATTTCAGGTATTGGCTCAAGCCCTGTGTTGTTGCATCTGCAAAAGCAATGTCTACAATAACTCGTAGTTCCAAAATCAACGACCAATACAGACTTCCTACTGGAATCAGATAGCCAATCAGAACAGGCAAAACGTGAAGAAGACACCACATTTGACTGGCAGTTTGCTTCAGTGAATTGCCTTTTCCTTTGAGAGTGGACTCAAGAATTTGTGCTGGCTTATTTTTCTTGTCACAGTGCCGTAGCTGTGGCTCAGCATGAGGGAATTCAACTTATCAAGAGTGAAAAACTGCTCTTCATAGATAAACCTCCCAAGAACCAGTTTCACTTCCATCGGTACAATTCCTTCTTGTAGGTCATGCATAATATCTGGGGTCACATTCATTGAAACATGATAATACCAAAGTGAATTTAATACACTATCTCTCTTGACCCCTGTTACAGTTGCAGTAGACTCCTGAATGTGAGCACTATGGCTGTCTCTTTGTCGACGTTGAAAATTTTCTCCTAAAAATTGTTGCTGAAACTCCTCCCTATGACCCAAGCATATACGGCATGGTCTGTTTGCTCCAAAGCTCTCTACAAATCCAAGTAAACCATTGAGCCCAAGATTGTCTCCACAAGCTTTTGCTAAAGTTCCCCGAACAAATCTCACAGATTTATCTGGAAGTATAACCTTTGCACCCTCATCAGATTCCAACTTTTTCAACTCAGCAACAAATGGAACCAACATAGAATCAAACCCATACTTTTTGAGATCTAGACAATTACGAAATGTTAGTAAGTGAATGCTGTCCAGTGAAGAATTCATTTTTGGAGGCAAATCTTTCAATGTGAAGTAGAATGCTCCAATTTTATGAATGCCTCTCTTAGAACCCAATGGGTTAACAGCTTCAAATTCATCAAAGTAAACGCAAATCTGTAGTGCCTGCTTGGAAGATGCAAACAAAGGATGGGCTCTACACTGATTACCATCACGTAAATCTCGCAATACATTGTCACTGCTAACACACCCTGATTCAATTTCATTGCTTGCATAGTCATCTCCTAAAATCATTCCAATAGTTGATAAAATGGAGACATACTGAAATGTTTCCTGCACCAACACCCGCTTTGATTGATTAACCCTTTTCTCCAGTCTTCACATCATAACGAAAACCAAGAAAAATTGACTGAGGCTTAACTATTTTAAGATGTTCATCAAGAAACTTTTCTTGCCTGTACCTTGTTCTACGCCCTTCAAACAGTGACTTGCTGCCTTCAAATTCATGTAAGAGATTTATATACTCCTCGCTTTGCTGTTCAACTCCAATAGCCTCACAAGCGTTAGTGACTTTTCTCATCAAATTGTTGATTTCATCCCTCAAAACTTGCAGTTGCTGAGATCACTCTACTTAATGTAGCATGAGTCATGTTAGTTTCAGAAAGAAGTGACCTTATGAATAGAGCAGCTTGTCTTTTGATACAGAATGTTTCTCCATTGATCACATCATCCTCATCTACTGGTACGCGACCTTCACATTCGTCAGCGCTTTCAATGTTTTCTCTTTTTCCTTCGCTACATACATGCTCAATGTTTGCATAGTCATCAGTCGAACCGTCACCCTCATGTGCAGTGAGAGCATGTTGTTTGTAACATGTTTCCCGAAAGAAAGGATGACGGGCATCCTCCTTGACCACAAATTAACTTCAAATCCTTCATGTCGAAAACAGCATGTGCCATGTGTAAATGACTTATCAATTTAGCAACAGGTCCTGGAATGATGATATGGCAAGCGAAGCAAGTGTACCCTATTACTAACCCAAATGTAAGATGTTTGGGCTGGAACAACCGACAAGCAAATTCAATCTCTCAAACCAACAACTAAATTTGGTAGACACATGGATCTGTGGGGAGATTCTAAATTAGAAAAAAAGACACAAGAATTAATTTTTTCATCTGAACTAAGTAAGCATATTAAATTTCTCCAACCCTTGTTAAGGCCTTCCTATCGAGTGCATTCATTTACGAGCTGTTTCCTTTGGCCACACTATTTTATTCTTTGGTTTACAGATTTTTTCAGATGGAACAGAATTCCGGATGCGGAGAAGGAAAAAAATAAAATGAAATGACCCAAAACTACAGGTTGGCCCAGAAAAAATCAAGTCAACGATATAGGTGATACAGTTTTATTTTTTTAGTTTCTCTGACGATGTCTTCGACGTTCCGGGCGAAGAGGGTAAAAATAATAAAACTGGTCAATTATTTTTAGTCAATTTCGGCAAAAATCAACGTCGGTGGATCCGTAAACTAGAGAAAAAGAAAGGATTGCCTTACCGGGCTTATGACATTTTGCTTACTTGCCTACTTTTGATTTGACGATAGTTTTAATTTGGTTTAGGGCTATAGGCCTAACTGAGGCATGGCTAATGCTCGCAAGCACGAAGTTGGTGCACTGTTATAATACATATATCTGCTGTCTTCTCACCGTACCTCTTCTTGAAATAGCGAGCTTTAGTTTTGCGACGGGAGAAATCTAGTACGGTAATGTGAGCCAAACATTTATCTGCGCATGCGCGATATTCTGCAAGTCTCCGTCCTGCTCATATCTGGGACCGTCGTGAGGGAAAATAACGTCGGGTCCAAAATAGAAAGCCGAGCATTGAGTAATGCATGGTTGTGTGCACACGAGATGTCAGACACGTGGAAATCGACATACAGCAGTGTTAATGCAGTGCAAGATGGAAACCAACGATACGTTACCGGTAAATGATGTCCTATGTTCAGTTTTTTTATGAAGAATGAAATGATACCGTGTTCAATGTGTTTCACGCTGACTGGAGAAAGTCGGATTTGTAAGCAGGAGGGAAACTTACTGGGCAAAAACGCATTTAGGCCTATAAAGATCAGTGAATGTATTATGTTTTCCTTCCTCTAAACTGTTCATGAGGTTAGTTGCCTACCCCATGCTATAGTACATTTATTACCGTTAATACCCTAAAAAGGAATAAGGACTAATTTGAAAGCTTTCAATTTTCAAATAATGGTTGCTAGGCAAGCAATGTTCAAGCTAGATTCTGCATGTTATTTTGGACTAGCGTATTTTATTGTAACATTTTAGTAATATTTTTAGACATTGGTTGTAATTTTCCCCCAATACAACAGGAACAAATGACAACCAGAGCTACAACGTTGACGTTATCAATAGTATGTGTTACACTTTCTTCTTTATTATATTTCTTAGTGTGTTAGCTTTCATGTTAATAAAGAAATGTACATGTAGTCATATTTTGTTGAGGCACCAAATATATACTTTTTCACATGCAGCTGATCTTAGATGTTTATAGCAGTAACGTTGCTACTTTGGACCACATCAGAGTTACAAAGCAAATTCAATTAAATATCCCTAAAGTTTGGCAATACTATTTTGCCATCTTTCACGACATTGGGTGAACAGTCACCAGTGTTCCCTCATTTTCAGTGTATTTTTTTCTCACATCTCATATACCGGTAAATCTTTTATGCAATTGATAATTTCCTTGCCTATGTTGACAGTTTTCCACAATGGTTTACTTTTCACAATTTTCTGATTGAAAGAGTGGATTCATGTTATTTCTAAACTAATTCACATACATGTATTCACCTTTCAGCTGTAAAGGATTTGTGTGCTCATAGAATTGTTTGATGTTCACCTTTATTGATAAATCTGAAAGTTACATTTACTAAAATCAAAATTTTAACCGTTATAATTTTTTATGACGTTAGTTGTGCAATTTTTTATGCATGGTTATAGCAATTTTCATGTTCATGTTTTTCATTATACATTCCTTTTGCAGGTTTTATTTATCTTTTTGAAATGTTTTAAAATGTTAACATGAGTAATCACAA